ATGTCTTCTTTTTTTCTGGTTTTCATAGATGATAGTCTCGTTTGTGTGAACTTGTGTTTCAGAACTGGATTCTTTTTTTTAAGTTTGTTTTAATTTTTTTAGCAGGGTTTAATGCAAGCCCCTAAAACCTAATAATATCTTGCCAAAGCTTTCAATGTGCAAGGAAATGCAAAAATGTTCGAATCGGATTCGTCTTTCAAGTTGACAAATCAACATCATCCGGCTGGCAAACAAGACCGGCAACAGTTCACAGCAGGCAACGGCCTCTGGCAATGGGCGCTGGGCGATGGGCGTGCCTTGGGTCCACTCGCATAAATCAGTTTTTGTGACAAAACTTGAAAAATATGTGCGCAAACAAATGGCATCGGACGATGAAGTGAACTGAAGAGGAGACAGGCTGCCTGGCCGTGCAACAGTTAGGACCCGGAACGGTGGCAACGACCAGGGGGACCAGGGACCAGGACGACCAAGCGGAGACACAGACATAGACGCCGCATGAAAATGCAAGGAGACATATGCTGCACGTTGTATAATTTCGGTTTAGAATCTGGTTTCTGAAAGCGCCAACTGGACAACTTTTGGACATCGTGACTTTGGGATGCCCATTATAAAGATTTTTTTTTTTAATTAGCTAGAATGTTGCCGATTTTATTTAAAAATATAATTTATTTAAGCTTTTCAATTCGATTGATTATGACAATTAACCTACCATAGGAAAATTACTATAATTTTGTACATTAACAATTATTAAATATGGATTTTTTGATTGAAAGGAAAAGAGTATGAAAGCATATAATACTTAAAATAGAATTCTACATCTATAAATTTGTATTACTACTCTTGCTTATGTTCCTCAAATCTAAAATAATATGTATTTTTAACAAGCTGCCTTCAGCTGTTCATATCCCTTAATACCTCTTAACACTTTACCAGGTATAAAAATGGCTGCGGCATATTTTAAAACATTTTTTCTTGCCTTCCACACATTCGTTGCTCGTTTTGTTGCCTTTGACCAGGGCGGCCGGAGCTGTCATAGTGGCATTTTTTATGCCTTCCTCCTGGCAAATTTGCCTAGCATTTTTGCTGGCCCAGGACTTTTGGCATGGGTGTAGCCATCCTGCGTATCTCCACGACTGCGTCTGTGTGAGATAACCGAAATCTGTGTGAGTGTGTGCGGCGGGAGGGGGGGGTTAAGAATTGCAAAAATGGCGGCAACGTTGCACAAAAAGGGAAAACAGGAAAAAAATCGTGGAAACAGTTGCCGCCGCTCTGGTCACGCCACATCAAATTGCCAGGACGCGTGGTGCGTGTGAGGCGTGTTATTTGAGCGTTTTATAACACTGAGGCGTGCTTAACGGCTTTTTAAAAAGTGCTATCAGGGAGCAGTAAGGGCAGGCCCAACAGATGAAATCCGCAAAAAAAAAACGAATACAATTATGGAAGGTGCTGCTGCAACATTTTGAACCTCTGAAAAATCGTACAGTTCAAAAAGCGTAAATGGGTTCAAAATCACACACTTTTATGTGAGCAAAAATAATAAAAAATTGCTAAATAAATTTAGTGCACATAACAAATCCAATTAGAGGGAAAAAATAAAATGGTGCGAAATATAAATCGTCAGTCAATAAAACGAAACTAAAGCCAAACAAAAAATACGAAATTGTAACATGCACGTAATTACATTACACAACAAAAATTTAATGAAATTAAAATGTTTCATTTGTCAGCCAGATAGAAATGTAGTAGTACAGGAAAAACAAAGCCCAAATCGCTGTCAGACAAATGAGTAAATAAATAAATACATTTTTGGGAGTGCCCGTACAACATTTGTGAATTTAATTTGCTGACTCAAATTCAAAGCGCGGAGTGCGCCAAATGGAATAAAATGCACAGAGACAACTCGGCGGAGGGCACATAGCGAATTTGTGGCTTGAGTATGCAAAAACAAACATTAAATGTGCCTGAATTTATGGGCCACGCACACAAAATGCATTTAAATTTGCCAGCGTGCTGGCTGCCTGCTGTTGTCGCTCCAACGGCCGTCCGTTACCCCCGATGTGAACTGGCCACGGGAAGGCCCAGGGCACAGCCCATTCCCAGCCTCCTCCATCTCCGTCTGCCGAAATGACCGCGCACATTGCACCAGCACCAAAATGCAGCATGCAACTGAAGCAAAACAGCAAACACCGACTGTCACACCAACAATTACGAGTTGGACGACGAAGAGGACACCAGCAAGGACTGCGACTGCGACTGGGACAGGGACAGGTTTCAGCGCGGTTGGCGCATAATTTCTCATCTCTGCTCTACTCATATAATGAGGCAATTTATTAAATTCAATTATTTCGTTGACATTGGTCCAAACCAGGGGCAGAACCAAGGGGCAACATTATTTGGTCCGCCTGCCGACTAAATACATTTAATTTTTAATTAAAAATAAAATGATACACGCCGTAACTATAGTTATTTTCCTTTTTTTTTTTTTTGTATGAAATTTAACAAAATTCGAAATACCACAGTCCTGAATAACATTCAGTTTTATTGCTTTTTAGCCTTATTTCAGAAAGTATAAATAATAATAAAGTTTATATACATATATGTAAATATTTCCAACTTACTTTTTGTAGAAGGTAGAATGCCATTTGTTTGCTCTAATTATTTTGTATTTGTCTTTAATTTTTATTACAATTTGAATATTAGAATAGCCTCTTATAATTACAATATAACTTTAAAAAATGTATTATACTGATGTTAACTTCTTGTAATAGAAGAATTTTAACGCGACAATTGAGCAAAATAAAGACTTATGTTTAGCGCATCCACACGTTAGAAGAACAATTAGAAATTGCTACAAGCTCGATGCATCCATCGAAGGATTAGGTAATAAGCTTAAGGAAATCCGTGTCCAACCTTTGGCTGTGCAAGTATGCACTACTAATTAAATTTTTCGATAACGATTCATATGAAAAAAGTTTTGTGCTGTTGGGGAAAACTTTCCGTGCTGTCGCCAGCTGCAAAAATATCAATAAAGAAACTAATATGTCAAAACTAGGGGACAACAGCTGCTAGATGGCCGTGTCTTTCCTACCATGTCCTGCGATTAGCACATCAAGCGTTTATTAATAGCACAAGGAAAAAGCGTCCCGGGGAAAAGTTTTTGGTCATTATTGGGAAAAATAAAAGAAAGGTATAAAGACCAAAGTTTTTAGAAGTTTTCTCTTTTAATTATACTCGTTTTCCATTAGCTTTGTATAGTTTTTTGATACAAAAAAGTTGATAAAGGGAAGAAGACATTTGTGGAAGCCGGGATACTAAAGCTGGCCAATTAAGTCGCATTTCAGGAAGCAATGATCCGTGGAATATCTATCTGGATTCAACCAGTTTATGTCTGCGGCACCGCATTGATTAGGTGTCGAGCTCAGGACGAATGGAGACAGGAGCCGTCAGTGTCCAGACTGCTGCGACACTAATCGCCTGGGCTACGTGACTCACGTCGACTGGGCAGGCTTTGACCCACCGAAAGAAATCGCTGGCGATGAGTTTTGATTGCAGACGGCGTTAGGAATATAAAATGAGGCCCGAAGTCTGGGACAACTGCAGTGGCTGCCAGCCAGTCATCCGTCCATATGTTCCCACTCTCGAGTTCCGGCGTGCCAGCATTGTGACTTTGTGATTTGCATAGATTTTTCATTACAGATTTGCCTTCGCTTTTGGAAAAGGAAAAGGGTTTTCTCGACAATTGAAAGATATGGTCAGAGAAAGGCACGAGTGAGGGAAAAATAAGACTGATGACAATTTGATGAAGGTTGCCGCATCGATTTTTGAATTAACAAACTCGTTCCTCTTGGCTTCAAGGGGTGGAGGTTTTGGCTGTTCGCAAAGCTAATTAGGCTTAAAATAAAGTTGAGCAGTAACTTTGTCGAGAACCGAGTCTTACTCGAGTGTCAGCGCATCGGAGTCAACAATGCATGAAATTCTCTATTCCATTCACTAGCGAGGTATCTCGACAAAATGGTGTCATTGAAACGGATTTCTGGCTCTTTATTTTGCAACCCTAAAATCATTTCGCTTCCCCACGAAAGTGTGTACGAATTTCTCATCCGCGAATAAGATTTTCGATTCGTTTTCCGCTTTCTTGGCAACCACATTTCCTAAGAAAAAGTAGAACATTTTACTTTCTTACCTTTGGCCTTTGAATCAAGCCCCAGATTTTTTGTTGGGTAACAAATATTATCCCCCTTTTTGTCCTCCTCAGTGCCCCCCAACATAGACGACGCCCTGACCTCCAGTGACGTCATCGTGCGCGAGGGCGATAACGTGACGCTGCGCTGCAAAGCGAAAGGCAGCCCAGAGCCAAGCATCAAGTGGAAGCGGGATGACGGCAACAAAATTGTAATCAACAAGACGCTCGAGGGTAAGAGCCCATCCTCATTGTAGTTTTCAGGTGCCCGGCTAACTTCCTGTCCCTCTTCCCCGTTTCATTTGTATGTGCAGTGAGTGACTTGGAGACGGACTCCCTCGAATTGGAGCGGATTTCGCGCCTGCACATGGGTGCCTATCTATGCATAGCCTCGAACGGAGTTCCTCCCAGCGTTTCCAAGAGGATCAAAGTCAGCGTCGACTGTAAGTTGATAGCCCGTAATTTCTGTAGAACTTTTTATGACCCCCTTTCGTGTGTCCTTTCAGTCTCGCCGATGGTCTGGATTCCGCATCAACTGGTCGGCATACCCATGGGGTTCAACATCACCCTGGAGTGCTTCATCGAGGCAAACCCCACCTCGCTCAACTATTGGACTCGCGAAAACGAGCAAATGATCACTGAGTCATCGAAGTACAAGTAAGTGATACGACGCCTATTGTAATCGATAGCCATTTTGGGGGCTTGGGTTATCCCTTATCAGGACTTATTTACCCCTGCACACAGTATTCGTCTGATAGAGAGCGAATCTGTGCTAGCTATTCGCTGAATTCTAGATTCTCAATTCAGTTGACTGCCAGTTATGGAGTGGATTATCTGTCTGTTGTTTTTTGCGAGTGCTTCTATAGCTGCGGAAGCGACGGTGATCAGCGCAAACACTCGGCTGTTGAACAACATCCTGAGCTATGTAGACGAGGGAGAGGACGCCTGCAGCAATTACTTTCAGCATGCTTGCGGCAAGTACGCGGCTCGGCACATTGATGACCCCTTCACTGAAATCACCCAGATGCTGGACCACAAGGTCAACCAAGACCTCCTCCAGGTAATGGACGAACTGGAGAGAGACTCGCAGACGCCCGGCTTCAATGAGAGCACTTTTGAGGCAAAGGCGCTCCGTTTTTATCTCACATGCCGCGACGCTCCGACCAGCACGCGCAGTGCCTCGCACTACCTGCGATTGGTACCTCCATCCGAGGGACTAACGTGGCCGCAATTCAACCCCAGAGGCACGGTCTGGCCCAAGGATCAGTTCAAGTGGATAGACACCTTGGCACATCTTCACCGTTACGGCCTCAGAAACGTCCTAATCAACGTCCTGATCATGCCAAGCCTTAATAACAGTGAGCAGATTGTCGTGGACCTTAGTATGCCCCAGTTTGAGGGACAATCGCAGCATCTAAATGGTTATATCGAAACTCTTGCCACGCTCAGAATTATGGGAGTTGCGACAAGAGCCTCCTTAGCGATCGCGCTCAAGATAAGGAGACTTGAATCGGCTATTATAGCCTTAACGGAAGACGACGAAGAAACAGACCCCCAGCTGATGAATGTAGGTCAGTTGGAGCGTAGAACGGGCTACGAATGGCGCAGGTTTATCGAGACAGTAGTTGGCCACCCCGTTTCCCACGACATTCGCCTGCAGGTCATGAACTTGCAATATTTCACGGCCCTCAAGCACCTGATGGTTTCAACGGACGCCGAGGTATTGGTTAACTATATAATGACCCGCTTCGTGCTTCACTTGCTGGAGGATACGATGGACAGCGGAGAGCCCATTCAATGCATAATGGACCTACGGCGTAACATGAATCTGGCCTCTATTCGGCTTTATAAAGACCGATTTATCCAGCCCGAAACTCTTCAGCAAAAAACCTTGGAGGTGCAGCAAATCTTCAACCGACTAACTCGCCAGTTCCTGCTGCAGATTGAGCGTAACCGGCTTGGGTTGACCGCCAAGCAGCGCAGGATGGTCGCCCGGAAGGTACAGGCCATTTCCCTCAATATTGGCAATCTGCCAAAGGGTCTGGACCATCGAAGCTTCATCAGTCGGTTCTATGAGGACCTGGAAATATCCACAGGTGAATTGGACTACGGCCGAGAGCACCTTAAGCTGCTGGGCTTCCGCACTCGGAAGGAAATAGCGCAACTTGGCCAGCCAGCGCCGAGTGAAGGAGAGTATTTCTACATGGCTGACCCCAACACGGCAATGAGCTCCTCCCCGATGTACATGATGCGCCAGAATGCCATCATAGTGCCACATGGTATTCTGCAAGAGCCGTTCTTCGTAGCTAATAGTCACGAGGTGTTCAAGTATAGCCTTCTGGGGTTCGTCCTCGCCCACGAGCTAATGCACGCCGTCGACGGCACTGGAATCTTGATCGACAGTCACGGAAACCAATTTGAACCGGGCGCTGAAATTCTCTCCTCGCCACGGTTCGAAGAAGGCTTGGAGTGCTTGAACCGGAATAAGACGCAGTACCTCGACGAACGAATAGCAGACATATCTGGACTGAGTCTGGCATACGCCACTTATTTCGAAAACTTCAATACCTCTAGTCGCACAGGCTTCACCAACAAGTCGCAGGAGCAACTTTTCTTCCTCAATCTGGCGCAGTTCTTCTGTGGAGATGGCGATGCCTCAAACTTTGTGGGTCACGACGACGATGAGATGCGCTTGCAGCAGCTGCTAACTGGCTTTCGGCCCTTCGACAGGGCATATGGCTGTCGCAGGGATCGACCTCAGCCCGAAAAGTGCCAGCTGTGGTGAACACAGCAATCCAAACGCTTGGCTTTTAATCCCAATTTAAAGACGAAGATCATTTAGTCTGAACGTTTTCGTTGTTTTTTAACACTTTTTTTTATTCTTTTAACTTTTTATAACATTTAAAATATATAAATTTTCTCTTAGCTTCATAAACATATCTTTTAATGAAATTATCGTATATCTACTCTACATTTCAATGGGCAATGGCAGTTGTGTCGAAAACCAAACCACTCCATCTTCTGAAATCGCATCTTATAGGATCATTTAATGTTCGGCGGAGGGTATTACAATTTTGTTCAGGATTCAGGAACTCTCTAGGATATATATTCTTGAACTTAAACAGCCAAATTTCTGTGCAAGTTAGTCCTCAGTTTTTGAGCAAGGTTCTCCGTAGTCTAAAAAGGCCAGATTGGACGACTATATTACAAAAATGTAATAATTACGATTATAAAATTTATTTTTAAATAATTTTAATACATCAAAGTCAGACGTCTTTGTCACATAATTGTTATAGCAGTTCACTCAATCACTCATTTTTTTATATAAAGATCTGTGAAAATTGTAAAAATCTCTCTGGGTTACCTTCTCTTCCTAAATTGCTATTAAAGCTTGAATGTTTTGAGGTTTTTAGATCCTCACCAGAGCCGACACCGGTGGCTGGCCTGCATCTTGGCTTTCTTCTCGCAGCCAAACTCTCTGGAGAACTCCTCGAAGTTGGCCAGTGTCTGCATCACACGTAGCTCGTCGGCGGCATGCTCCAAATGTGCCTGCGACTGCGACCGAAGACTGGAGACAGGAGTGCGTCCGCAGAAGAACTGGGCAAAGCTGATGAAGAACAGCTGGCGCTGGCTAAACTGGGGAATTAAGGGATCGCGCGGCTCCCGCTGATCTGCCCGCACACCGAAGAACGTCTCATATGCCAGCCGCAGGGCCGCAAAGTCAGCCAGTTTCTCGTCGAGCCACTTGGAGCCGGTTGCCATCTGCTGCTGCATGCAGTTGAGTCCCTGACGGAATTGCTTGCTGGCCCCGATCTCCTCCACGGGTCCCATGATGTTGCCGAGGTCGTCGTAGTCGATTCCCGACATGTCAAAGCCATGAGCCAGCTCATGGGCCAGGGCGAACCCCATAACGGCGTGCTGTTGCAGAGCGCTGATGTTTGTATGCCACACGGGTAGCTGGAGGAGTCCGTGTGGCACCAGTACCAGGTTGCGAGGCCTCACATACAGAGGCGATGAGTTGCTAGCATCCCAGCTCTCTGCCAGGTAGCTTACGCCTCCTCGCGTTGAGTTAGTCAAGTTTGTGGAGTTTAGCGCAAGCAGATCGAAGTTGGCCACCACACGCTGACGCAGAAGCTCCAGCTGGTTCCCATAGAAGTTGTGGTCACTCAGCTCCAGATGGGCGTATTGCTGCTCGACGGTCTCCAGTTCGTCCAATTGCACAAAACCCAGTTGCAGGCGCATTGCGCGTATCTTTTGCTGAAGGATGTGCACCAGGGGAGGCGAAAGACGCAGCCGGTTCTCGGACAGGGTTTGGCCAAACCGCCGCTTAAGCCGACGGAACAGAGAGCGAATCTCAGGCTCAGAATCTGGATCGAAAAAGCGCTGGCTTATCAGCCAGCTGCTTGCCAGGGGCATTGCCCTTCGCAGGCTGGAGACGCACTCTCCGCGCGAGATCTCCGCCGGCCCTTGACTCTTGAGGAAGGCCAGCCACTTCAGCATGATATAGCTGCAGACAGTGTCCGGCGTTTGTGCCTCAACCAGTTCGCTCAGTGCCCTCAGGTAGGGTATGTTCTCGATGATCAACGTGGAGCGCAGATCCAGATCGGCGTCATCGCGTACTTGCCGCATGAAGGACAGCCAACGAAGTTGCGGAAGATAGGTGGCCAGGTAGCCCAGCTGCATTTCTCGTGGTCCCTCGTCGTCATCCAAATCCTGCAAGCGGTGCAACTTGTGCTCAAAGTCGTCCACCAGGCGGGCCAGAGCGTTCGCCGATCGCTTTGTCTGACCAATGTCCAACAGAAGCTCGATTATGGCTCCCTCCCCCATGGGCAGCGTCTCCTGGCGACTCGGTTTGTTTACGTAGAGACTGTAGGAGCGCGAGTCGTCCCACCGCGGCAGGACATCTATCCGCAGCAGTGCTCCATTCAGGCCGTGCTGCCGCAGTCTTCCCATAGTCGTTATCCAGTCAAAACTGTCGGGACGCCAGCCTCGACCCACCGATGGCCAGTGGGTAAGGTTGGAGGGTTGCAGTAGCACCAGATACTTCTTTAGGTTATAGGGCTTAAGCCGTTTGCAGGAGCGGTAGTAAAAGCGCATTTGCTCCAGCAGCATAGAGTCTCCCTCGAAGGAGCTGCTGTTGGTCCGCCTAAACAGGAGCTCTAAGCGCCGATTCAGATTGCTGTCAATCCCCTCCAAAGTGCCCGACGGCAGCAACTGCTCCTGATATCGCTCCCGCTCGCGGTCCTTGTCCCGCTCCCTTTCGCGCGGAAAGTGCTGCTCCTCTTGCTGGATCTGCCAGTTGCCACAGGCATACTGGTAGAAATTCTCGCAGGGACGGGCCTTGGTATCCATGTAGCTCTGCAGCTGGGTGGCCAGCATCTGCTGGATGCTCTGGGGGGGACGGATCTGGCGACAAGCGGTGGGCGTGGTGCGCCAGGCCAGCGAAAAGAGAAGCCAAGCCGCCAAGCTGAGCCTCAGCATGATGGTTCCGACTGTGACAAATTACAACTGGCCAGACTCTAAGTCGCCTGGATCGCGGAGACTTCGGACTAGAGCAATCCCCCGTTGCCTGTCAGTCTTCATCGTGGAATCCGCACACCGCACACTGGTTCAAGCAGTCTTATTTCCATTTAGGAACTAATAGGATTTTTATAGCTACACATCTTGCTTTGATAACAAAAATATATAGATTATGTATTTTAAGGAGTGTCTTTTTAATTATTTTAATTATTTTATAATTTTAATATTTGTTGAAAGTAAAACTCAAAGCTGTGTGCTGATTTAATAGCATTTAAATCCACTGTGCTCTGCTTGCCAGGTCGCATTCTGATTAGCCCTAAGTGGATGCTTATCAGTTTCACCTTGGCCTTGATTCCCGATTGCCGCTCATTGGGGCTGACCCACAATGGGCGTCGGATCATGGACGCGCGACGCAAAAGCTGTCATTGACCTTGCCTCACAGCTCCGATCGTACTGCTGCTGATGCTAATGCTAATACTGAAACTTGTGATTTTCTCTACTTGCAGAACCGAAACGATTCCGGGCCATCCGTCGTACAAGGCGACAATGCGACTGACGATTATCAACGTGGAGAGCAGCGACTATGGGAACTACAAGTGCGTCGCCAAAAATCCTCGGGGCGACACGGACGGCAACATAAAGCTCTACAGTGAGTGCCCGGCCATACTAGTTATTTATACCCTTTAATATTGGGCCAGAGCCACAGCCACAGCGATTCCAGGCACCGCCCGAAATGCGGTATAAATTACAGGGGGGGCGAGCTTTGGGGCTGGGGAGTGTGTGTTTAGAACGGCTGGAAATCCAAAACTGCAACATTTTGTGGCTTTAATTATGGCGTTTGTCGGTGCAGTTGATTGGTTGTGTCCCGGCCAGAGATAACCAACCATTGTTTGTGCGGTACTTTAAGGGCTTTGGCTTTAATTCTCTCACTTGCTCCCCGCTGCGCGCAGCGAGAGTGCTTTGCCCCGGAAATGAATGCAACATTTATACAGGGTTTATTCTTATCTATTGATTACCTCGTTGTGGCTGCGACAAGGTGGCAATTAAAGCCGTTGCCGGACCAATAAAGTGTCAATAATCTGTCAATTTGCTAAATCACTCCCCAGTCAATGGCCTGGCCATTTATAGTCTTGCCTGGCAGCCCCGATTTCGTTCACAAAAGTTCATAAAACAATATAAAATATCCGCTCGTTGGCGTTGGCGCCAATAAATGGCCATGGCCACCAAGAATGGCCAATGTGAAAAGGCGACAAGTTAATTTATATGTACACGCTTTTTATTTGGCTGCCGGTGGCACAACAATGGCAAGAGCCCTTACGGAAGTGGGTGTCGCTCTACCAATTAAAGGTAACAATGGCCGCTGATAATAGTGGGGGAACAGCGCCAACAATGCGAACAATGAACCTGTGACAATTTTATTGAGTGGTCAGGGGAAGATACGAACGTACCGAAGCTGGGAAGCTGGAATCTGGGAGGTGCCGGGTTTCGGGATTCCCAGCCAAGGCAAGGCCAAGTGCCAGGACCCATAAATTTCCTCAACAAATTGTCGAATTTAATGCCAAGAGAGGCCAGCCAGCCAGCCAGCCAGCCAGCCAGCCAGCCAAGAAGAAGTCGTAGAAGCTCTGGGGAAGAGGCCAAGAAATTGAAATCGAAAGGAAGGGGGCGGATGAGAAGGCTGGATTTACGTGGCCAGAAAAGAGAAGACAATTGGGTGGAAAGGCAGAAAATAGCAGTTATCGCAGATATCGAGCTGGCGGTGGGCTTTTGTACATATATGAGAGCTGTGGCTTGTGGTTAGCCGGTAAATGGAGCCGCGATTGTTCGCTGCGAATGCATCCACTCACTGATATATACACACACTCACTCTCTGAGGTATATACACACATACTGATCCATATCAAAATCTATGCCCCGCAGTGTCAAGTCCGCCGACCACACAACCGCCGCCCACAACCACAACGCTGCGGCGCACAACAACGACGACAACGGCAAACACGCTGGACGGCTACCACAACACCCCGCTAAATGGCATCGGCGGCGATGGTCCAACAAATTCGGTGATTGTGATTGACAAATGTGAGTAGTAACATCGAACTGCAGCCTCTGCTGGCAAACTAATTGACCGTGCCGCCGCTTTTGCTTCATCACTTACAGCGGGCAACAAATATCAATCGAACCTGAACGACATTGGCAAGTCGGAGCAGAAGCTGACGGGCAGCAGTCCCAAGGGCTATGACTGGTCCAAGGACAAGGGCAGTGGGAGCCGGCCCCTCCTCCTGGCGCCCGGCTGGCTCCTTGCGCTCTGTGCACTGCTGGGAACGCACTGGCGGGTTTAGAGGACTGCGACTGCGGACACACATAGAAATCGTATTAATAAAGTGCCATTAAAAACAAATCGAAATTAAAAGTGAACGCACCCGAAAAGCCGAAAACAGGAACTGCAGCGGAGCGGATGATAAACCATAAAAAATATGTACTTAATTAAGCAAATGGTTGCGCTAACGAAGTCATGCTTTGGTTTACCGTTTGCTACACATAAATATTGGATTTTATTTCGTGCAATAGCCCACTGCGTGCGGGCGTTATTCAAAAATGTGTTGGCCAAACAAAGGCAGTAAATTAATTAACCGAGCTGACTCATTCCCAGGTCGACCAGACGACACACCCTATCGCGAGGTATGAACGGGGCTTACCCATTCCCATGAATGCAGTTTAGATGCATGATTCCCATCTTTTCGCCACTTTAGTCGCATTCTCGATGCAATATTATCATCCTGGTAAGGGTATGCCCAGTGCGGTGCCAAAGCAGAGAGCAACATATGATTTTAGTCAGTCGTAAACACACACACACACATTCTGGTTAGTTAGTCGAAACATAAATTAATTTAATTGCAAAAAAAGGGAAATAAATATACATTTCAAATGTTGCCAAATTGTTAAAATACAAAGCACAGGATAAACACACTCACAAACTGTAAATAAAAAAGCATACGCATGAATGAAACCAAATACAATTGTAAATTATGTACTCGTTATAGGCGTCTCAGCGATTGCCCACTTGTGCGAGGGTAGGCAGGAAGCAATTTATGATATAGGAACTCAAAGAAAAATTAATAAGGATCCCATATAACAGGCACGCGAGACGGTATTAATCAAAAGCCAATTAATAAAGAGATGAGAGCAAACACGGAATACGAATACTGTTGATAAACACCTATGTAAGTTGGCGAGTTCGAGTGGGTTTTAATTATATATCAGTTTATTTGAACCAAGTGAGCCAGCGGCCAACATAAGTACGTTCTAAACTATACATATACAAAAATATATTTAAATACATATATCATAGGCCTTAGTTTGTGTTTCTAAACGATAAGAGTGATAATGTACATTTAAAGAAATTTGTCCCCGAACGGAGCAAGCCAGCAAGCAGCCAGCGACACAAATAAAATATCTATTTGGATTGCTTCTTACACATCAATATGTCTTTTTATTCCCGGAATCAGGGTTCCTCAGGAAGGTAGGTAGGTGGATAATATGCACAGCCAATCCCGGCAGATGACGCTCCACATATCAATAACAATTCCACTCGAATCACTGGGCTAACAAGTGACCAAGGAACGCATAAATGCTTATCCTGCCCTACTGTCGAGTGCAACGAGTTTCTATTTTTATTTGATCCTGTGTTGGCGCAGCACTTGGCGGAGCACGTGAAATTGTTATTGAGCCGAGGGCGCGCCTCCTTCTCGACTCCTGCAAACTGCACAAATATCCTTGCTCCCGGCTGGTCAGGGAGTGCCTGGAGTGCAGGAGACATTCGTATTTTCTTGGCGGGGGAAAAAGAACAAACATTTATTTTTTCTAAAAAACCCTGATGCTCTTGGACTCCTACGTGGCGTGTGCACAGCGAAAACAAAGCCCAGACATGCCGAAGAGCTTTGGGAGGGCATCAGGATTCAAGTGGCGTCTTAGCGAGTTCTCTATCCCTGGGAACAACTCGACTTGGTTGAGTCAGCCTAAATCTATGATATGGCGAATATCAACCTCTCCCGAAAGTATGCTTCCACCAGTGAATAAATCGTTGTGTTTCGTTTTAGTTATTTATTTGTATTATTTAAATCTTAAAAACATTAAATGTTGGTGTCTAGAAACTTATGAAATAGAGGAACTTATTCTAAAGGAACCATTTTAAACCTCCACGGCCCGACGATCCAGCAGAGTGTCGAGTATCTTGTCCATGTGCTCGCTGCAGTTGGCCAGGCAAATGTCCGCATACTCGCTGAGGAAGTACATGAAGCTCTCAAGCTGCTCCATCGAACAGGCGCGGAAGCCATCGTCGCGTCCAATATTGTCGATGGCCCGAATGATGGAGCGCAGCTTGTGGACATACTCCGGCGTGTTGCGGCAGTGCTCCAACGAGCCGTCCGCCAGATTGGCGGGCTTCTCGTAGCTGCGGATCCTTTGCTCTACGCTCCGGAGTTTGCTTTGCTGCTGCTTCAGCGTCTGCATCATCTGGGGCACGGACATGACAGGAGCAGAGGAAGCGGCACCTGGATCCGACTTGGCAAACAGCTCGTCCAGGGGCACTGCCTCGTAGTCCAGAGAGAACATGTCGGGCGAGAAGGACAGCCTTCCGCTGTTGTTGCTGAAGCTGTCAGACTCGAACTCCGTCTGGTCCAGGTCGCTGGTCTTTATGGTCTGATTGGCGTTGCCGCTGTTGTTGGGCCAGGAGTACTTGCTGCGTCCTTCCAGGCCATTGCTGGCGCCAGTCTGCAGACCCACCAGCATGCTGTAGCTGCTCTCGATGGAATACTTCTGGGTGGTGGGCCAGAACTCAGGAACGCTGCTGAACTCGATGTGATCCACTCCGAAGCGCAAGTCCGATTTTTCAGAGTCGAGGAAGGCGAATAGCTTCTCCACCTTTTCGCCTGTCATCAGCTTGCCGCTGAACGGCACGGCCAAGTCTCCGCTGGCGAACCAATAGTGGGAGCAGCCCTGGACGCTGGGAGGACGATCCGGTAATGACTGCCGGGCCGAGCACGAGCTTCCTCCGCCTCGGATGAACTTGTGCCCGTCGATGCCGAAGGCCAGGTCCCGTGTCTCCCAGCTCTTCTGGGTGAATATCTCATACAGAAGG